TCGGAATCGCGAAGATTGAAGAACTTGAAGAAATTGATTTCAAATTCCTTTATTTTGTGTATTGTATATATTTGTAATGGGCATAAGCCCTTGTCATTTTTCTTTCCTTATTCCTCTTATATTTTATCTTGTAATGTTTAGACTAGGACAGATGGAAAAATGGGTTAAAACCCAAAAACAGGTGGGTCCAAGTTTCGATCAAGGCGAACAGAACTCGAAGACTCGGACCCGAATCTCTCTCTCTCTCCTTTTTAGTATTCGCTTATATATTTGCTTGAGTGACGTTAGTCTAGGATTAGAAAACTCCAAATCCCACTGAACGCCTTTTGCTTTATCGAACTCAAAAACTAAAACTGAATCTCAAAACAATAAAATGTCAATTCACAAGTTTGCTTAGAGTTATAATTTAAAAGGTTTAACTTTAACGGAATATCAGAACCATAAATGTTACGAAACTTGTAATGAAATAAGCTCAACTTCAATTCGCAAAAGTTAAAACAAAATAGTCAAATAAGTTAATCGCCGGAAAACCGTAAGTTAGCGGAGTGTCTTAGGTGCCTTACACCTTCCTAAGACACTAATATGAATCCTGAACCCACTAAAATATTTTCAAAACGATTTTTTCTGTTTAAGTTGTTTTGGAAATGAGTTTTCTTGATTTTTCTTAAAAATTAAGTGGCGACTCCTAAAAGTTAAAAATACCCTTAAAAATAACAAACTCTTTTCGAAAAATCACCTTTTTCGATAAAACACAAATTTAAATTCTTTTTTTTTAAATTTTTTGTCGAATTAAATCACCTCACATTAATTGGAAAGGAGGGAGTATGAATATGAAATACCGAATAAAAAAAGGATAAAGGTAGAAATACCTTCCTACTATGACCCAAATTATAGTTACACATCTTAATTAAACTAAAGTTCTATTACCCATGACCTCATTTTTTTGGTAATTTTTTACACTAAATGACTTACGTGGCATCGAGATATCTCTCATGCGCTTTAATTGCGTGGAGTTACAGAGTGTGCCGCATAAGTCAGAGTTGTACAATATTATATATAAAATGAGTTCAGTGGGATAATAGTTAATGTGTGTTTTAAGAATTTCGATCATAATCTAGGAGGTAATTGTACCTTCTTCCTAAAAAAGGAAAAAGATTTAAATATATCATCAAACTATTAGAAAAAGTTTATTTGTATCATGCGTTGAAAATATTAACAATGGTATAAATAGGTTTTTTCTAAGAGTTTGATGGTATATTTGAGTCTTTTCTGCAAAAAATATTGGGCAAATTTTATATATAGCAAATAAAAATGCACAATTGTAGCCTATAGCAAATATTTTAAAATTGTGTTCCGTAGCAAAATTTTAGTCTACTATGGATGTCTTTTTGTGTATAATCGTTAGACACCATTTGCCTTTTAAACAATTCAATTTTTTTAAAAATAAAAATAAAAATAGGCGGTATAATCTGGTAGATAAATAAGGAAAAGGATCCCACAATTCACACAATTTCCGTTTCAATTTTATTCCATCTTCTTCTACTTCACTCGAAATTGCTCCATTGAAGACAATTCAAAAAAATTGATCGACCTATTGAAGGTATTAATCAAACAAGCGAGATAAATTTATTTTCAGAGATAAACACAGGAGGTAATTTCATGATGAAAACATACTCTAATTTTGATTTTGTTTTTGTCAACAATGAAGTTTAAAATTCAGATTTCGTTTTTCATTTGCATCGAATGTATATTGAGTTGTGTATATTTGTCCATAATTGATTTGAATAATTAATTTGAAATCTAGAAAAAATTGTGATAAATTTATTCATAATTTTGAAATTCTGATATGAGAATTGTTGATTTCTGGTATAATGTATAAGAATGTTGTTTGTTTGTTCGAATCTATTTTATATATATATATATATATATATATATATATATATATATATATATATATATATATACACACACACACACACACACATTTAGTGTTATTTAGTGAATTGTATAATTGTATGTAGTTGTTGTCTGTTTTTACGAATTTGTCAGTTATATACATATACATATTTAGTGTTTATGGTGAATTGTATATTTGTATAAAGCTATAATTGTGTGTATAAGTTATAGAGAATTTTGGATAATTTGAAAATGTGTATAAGTTAAAAACTTAAGTTGCTATAATATGTATAAATACATTTTCTGTTTGTTGTTGCTATTCTTAAGCTCACAAAGGTATATGTATAATTTAATTTTTTATACATAAATTCTGAAAATGACTTCATTGGCTAGTAAAAGACATATTAGAGTACATACAGAAAAACTATATTTATACAACCTGAATTGTATAAGGAGACATTATAAAGGATGAATCATCAC